GTCTACTGCAGCAGAAGGGCCGCCGGGGGTTGCAGTGAAGGGGATCCTCTGGCGTAGAGCCCGGATTCTTCCCTCTCCAGTGTTTAGTGTATTTTCGGCGGCAACGCAAGTCTGACGGGATTCAGGAACAATGATATATGTAGGTACATGTTAAAAAACACGATTAAAATAAGAATCGCATTGCTTCTCTATGGAGAACCCAAAGATTCATCGCATACGCAAGTTGCTATCTACCTACAACATGCCTTGCTGGCCGAAATCGAAGTTTCCGCACCCCAAAAAGGCAGTCATATGTCATATGGTGAACGGTAGATATTAGAGACAAGTAACTGGGCGCCTAGCTTTCCTTTGTCTCACATCCTGAAGAAATCGAGCCAAAAAATGTCTCGGCTACTTGCCGCCCTTTGTCCATTCTTCTTCTCCTTGTTCTTCTGCATGCAGTATCCGCACGACGGCATTTCTGCAACAGAAAGGAAAGATTTGTATTAATCCTAAAAGCTCTAGCCATCGATTTGTCTCGCTACTAGAAGCAAGTTTGGCGACCCGGTCCGCGGAGGGTGAGGGATATGAACACCGGGCTTTGCTAACTTGCTTTCCCATCACCCTGCTGTGGTAGGTAGCGCAAGCGCCTCTTCTCCTCCGACGTTGTTGCGAAACAGGAAAACAAAAATGGACGGTCGTTCTTGCGAAACCAAGGGAACGTTGAACACGGAGCGAGTGTTTATGCTGAGACAGAGTTCCAAGAGGGATCCAACGCCAGACGGTTTAACGACAATCAACTCAGGTGAGAGAAGGCACAAGGCGGGCGATAACAAAAAGGGGGTACGACTTCTTTGTTTTTACATGACGATGCAGCACGAGTTTTGCTTCTTGGCCTGCTGATAAAACATCTTACTCTGGGAGCTCAGGCCGTCACTCTTGGCCACCAGGTCGTCGATCTTTTCTCCGCGCTCCAGGACGCTCTGGATGGTCTTGTGCAGCACGATCTTGGTCTCGTCGAGCTCCTTTTGGATCTTGAGGATCGAGTCGGCCTGCTGCGGGTCTTGGTACCGCGTCAGGTACTCCTTGAGCTCGGGGAGGACGAGCTTGGGTTCGCCCGTCGCCCATGTGGAGCGCGGGTGCTTGGTGAGGAACTCATCGACGCTGTTGCGACCGTTGTTAGCATGGCCTTGGGACCTGATAAGGGGCACGGGGAGAAGGCTTGGCGGCCCTGGGGGTGATGGTGGACGTACATCTTGGAGAGAAGCTGGTGAGCGACGAGACTCGGGTATTGGTGGTCGGAAATGATACTGCGCAGTAGAGTGTCAGCACCGCTCCTTGGTGTGCGTACGGCTCCTCTGTGAGAAGGCATCTTTGAAGAGTTGCCCACTTACACGCCACAGATACCCTCGCTTCTTCCCACGCAGTGGAATGTGTTGTCGCCCTCCTCGATATCTTGCCTCTGGCCAGGGCGCGTCGACTCGGCCACCTTCTTAGAGAATAGGCTCATGAACTCGGCGTAGCTGTCTGTGTTTCAAGGATCGTCAGCCCATGTTCAGACATGAAAGGGCACGATAGGCTCGAGGCCCAAGTCGTCCGGCTCGTAGCTGGGGCGACCAGCCCTCCCTCGTGCGCAAATCGTGGGTGGCTTACTTCTAGTGAACCGGGAGTATGCGGACAGCTCCATCTCGCTGCAGAGCTCGACGGCGGGCTTGCTGTCATTGCGAAGGATCTATTGCGACGCAGGCGTTAGTTGCGATGGTGATTGAATTGCGAGGTCGCTCGCAGGTGCTTTTAGGATCGCGCGAAGTGCCAGGTAGCAGCGATGGAAGAGAGACGTACTCCGATGTAGTGCAACTTCATTTTCTGGAGTTGTGGTGTTAGTCGTCGATCACAGATGTCGCCGTTGAAGGCGGTCTAGGCGATGGGAGGGGAGATCAGGCCTCGACTTACGGCGGAGTTTGAGGGGCGAGAGGGGTAGCGAAAAGATGTAGTCGCGGAGTCTAGTTGTCGTCGGTTCGTAGGCAATTCGTAGATAAATCGAGGACGTCGAGTTCGGCAGCAGTAAACGGGCTTATTCGTGGGAGGGTGAGAAAGTCAGGTATTCGTAGGGGGAATTGGGAATGGAGATAATGGAGAAAGGAGGCGATCCGAGTTGTAGGACGATGGAGAAAGCGTCTCCGCGTCGGTTCAAGGCTTACAGAGGGCACCGCGGGCACCTTGGGGAACGATTGGCTTAGAAGGGCGATACATCACATGCACCACCCACTATTGGGAAACTTGGCTCAGCGGACTGCCCCTCTAGGCTGCAGAGTAATTAAGGCATTGATGTACCTGCGTACCTTGCTTAGCATCCAGCACACCAAGTCCGCTAAGCATTGCGGTGACAGCCTGCCTGCCTGCCGCCTGCGGAGGCTCGGGTGCTCCCCTCTTCCGTCCTCAGTGTGGCGGTCAGCCCGTACCAAAGTACCCGTTTAGGTACCTTACAAAGAGCAAGGTGTGTGACGTGACCTGACGAGAGTAAAAGTCAAGAACCCCCACCAACCACGGACGTCATTGGGTGCGGGAGCAAATCGATGGAACTCTGCTAATCCGAGTGCCACGGTGGCCGACAATGAAGGTCAAGGTTGATCCGGCGGCGAGTTGGCAGCTGCAGGTACTTCCCGTCACCTTTCCCCCTTCCAGGCCGCCCCACTATGCACGGCGGGCGGCGACTCGGTGAATGACTCCTCCAGCACCGGCCCCGGCTTACTTACCACCGCTAGCCATCATAGACATTTTTGACCTCACAGATGTTTTATATGAGGACCGGGGAGAAGTTGCATCATTCCTAATTCCCCTCTGTTCCTCTCTCATACAACAAAAAAGTAAATTTGAGAATTCTGAAGACAACACCCTTTCAACAGCACAACAATGGCGTCTGCAAATCTCGACAACGCAGAGGCTCAGTGGCGAGCCCAGTTCGAGGCCATGAAAACGGCTTTGGCTGGTCTTAAGCTCCCCTCAGAACCCCCCTCGGATGTAGATTTCGACGATGAATACGAAGGCTACTCCTCGGGCAATGGCGCACAGGACGTTTGGGACTTCATCTCAGACGACGAAGACGATGAGTACAGCAGCGACCAGTTAGACGGTCACGACGCCACCAACGGCGACGCTGCTTACGGCGCCGCCTGGTTCGTGAGCAAGTGCTCATCCATCGCCGCCAAAAATGGTCTGGCCGAAGACGTATTCCAAAACCAGATCATCAGCATCCTTACATCCGGCCAAGGCGACGAGGAGCTCCAGTCCCAGCTCGCCGATCTTGTCGGCTTCGACGACTTTGAGTTCATCATCGAACTGCTCGGCCACCGCAACGAGATTGTCATGGCCGTCACCTCCCAGGGATCCCAGGAGCCCAAAGGGAAACTATTGAGCAAGGCACAGCGTGAGGAGGCCTTGAGACGACAGGACTTTGAGCACAAGAATGCGACTCTCGCGCCCGCCATGACCAGGGAAGTCCAGTACCCTCATGTGTACAAGTCATACAACGCCGGAAACTCCCTCAGCCACTCAGGCCAGAAGTACGGTCTCCCAAGCGGTAGCGAGAGGCTACTGTTCGACAAGTATGAGGAGTATGCCATTCCTGCAGGGAAGAAGGGAGTTCTGGGTCCCGGCCAGAGACTGGTCAAGATTTCGGATATGGACGGTCTGTGTCGCGGTACCTTCAAGGGCTACAAAGCTCTCAACCGTATGCAGAGTCTGGTTCACCCAGTCGCATATAAAACAAACGAGAATATGCTCATCTGTGCCCCTACTGGTGCTGTAAGTCGCTTCAAGTCTGTCGTGATATGCGCAGGTTACTGACCGGAAACAGGGTAAAACGGATGCTGCGATGCTCACAATCCTCCAAACTATTGGTCACTACTGCACACCCAACCCCATTGAAGACATCACTGCCACAGACTTCGCAGTCGACCTCCAGGATTTCAAGATTGTCTATGTCGCTCCGATGAAGGCTTTGGCCGCGGAAATCACCGAGAAGCTCGGCAAGCGACTGGCATGGTTGGGCATCAAGTGCCGTGAATTCACTGGAGATATGCACCTGACCAAGGCTGAGATTGTTCAAACCCAAATCATCGTCACCACCCCTGAGAAGTGGGATGTCGTGACGAGAAAGGGAACTGGCGATACTGAGCTGGTGCAGAAAGTCCGCCTTCTGATCATCGATGAGGTTCACATGCTTCACGATGAGCGTGGTGCTGTCCTCGAATCTCTCGTCGCCAGAACCGAACGCCAAGTCGAGAGCACACAGTCATTGATCCGTATCGTCGGTCTCAGTGCAACGCTTCCGAACTACGTGGACGTTGCCGACTTCCTCAAGGTCAATCGGCACGCTGGTATGTTCTACTTTGACGCCTCATTCCGCCCGGTACCATTGGAGCAGCACTTCATTGGTGTGAAGGGCAAGGCTGGTTCCAAGGCTTCCAGAGAGAACTTGGACACCGTTGCCTTTGAAAAAGTCAGGGACATGCTCCAGAAAGGTCACCAAGTCATGGTCTTTGTCCATTCGCGACGAGATACTCTCCTGACGGCCAAGATGCTGTACGAGAAGGCCATCGAAGATTTCTGCGTGGATTTGTTCGACCCCACGGACCACCCGAACTACGAGAACGCCGTACGAGACATGAAGCAATCCAAGGCGCGAGACTTGCGAGAATTGGTGCCCAAGGGTCTGGGTATCCATCACGCTGGTATGGCGCGTTCCGACCGAAATCTTATGGAGAGGCTCTTCGGAGAGGGTGTCCTCAAGGTTCTTTGCTGTACGGCGACTCTCGCCTGGGGTGTCAACTTGCCCGCGGCTGCGGTCGTTATTAAGGGAACCCAAGTGTACAGCGCACAGGAGGGTAAGTTCGTCGATCTTGGCATCCTAGACGTGTTGCAAATCTTTGGTCGTGCTGGTCGTCCCCAATTCGAGGACACCGGTATCGGTATGATTTGTACCACTCAAGACAGGCTCCATCACTACTTGACTACCGTTACGGAGCAACAACCGATCGAGTCCAAGTTTTCCACCAAGCTCGTCGACAATCTGAATGCTGAGATTTCCCTCGGTACTGTGACGTCGATTCCCGAAGCTGTCCAGTGGATTGGATACTCATACCTCTTTGTCCGCATGCAACGAAGCCCAATGAGCTACGGCATCGAGTGGGCTGAAATCAGAGATGATCCCACTCTTGTTCAGAGGCGTCGTACACTGGCTATTCAGGCGGCCCGAACTCTTCAACAGAGCCAGATGATCATCTTCAACGAAGTGACTGAGGAGCTCCGCAGCAAGGATATCGGCCGCATTGCCAGTCAGTACTACATCTTGCACACGAGTGTTCAGATCTTCAACACTATGATGCGGCCCATGGCCACTGAGGCGGATATTTTGAAGATGATCGCTATGAGCGGAGAGTTTGACAACATCCAGTCCAGAGATTCTGAAGAAAAGGAACTCACACGTCTGAGGAACGATGTCGTTCCTTGTGACGTTGATGGCGGCATTGACACGCCTCAGGCCAAGACCAACATCCTGTTGCAGGCATACATCTCGAGAGCGCAGCCAGAAGACTTTGCTCTTGGCAATGATCTCAACTATGTTGCTCAACAGGCGGGCCGTATTTGCAGAGCCTTGTTCATGATTGCTTTGAATAGGAGATGGGGACATCAATGCCTGGTTCTCCTCACCCTCGCCAAGTCTATTGAGAAACGTATCTGGCCCTTCCAGCACCCTCTACACCAATTTGATCTCCCCAAGTCGGTCTTCAACCAGCTTGATGCCAAGGATAACATGACCGTGGAGGCAATGAGAGACATGGAATCTGCCGAGATTGGTAGCCTGGTTCATAACCAGAACGCGGGCAAGAAGATTGCACACATTTTGAACAACTTCCCGACCATCAGCGTCGAAGCGGAAATTGCGCCTCTCAACCGCGACGTCCTCCGAATCAAGTTGTTCATCGAGCCCGACTTCCGATGGAATGACCACATTCACGGGACTTCCGAGTCGTACTACATCTGGGTCGAAAACTCTGAGACGTCTGAGATCTACCATCACGAGTTCTTCCTTCTGAACAGGAGGAAGCTCCACGATGAGCACGAACTCAACTTCACCATCCCTCTCTCGGATCCCCTGCCTACCCAGATCTATGTACGGGCAGTTTCTGACCGATGGCTTGGCGCCGAGACGGTGACGCCCGTTTCTTTCCAGCACTTGATTCGCCCAGACACTGAGAGCGTGTACACTGATCTCCTCAACTTGCAACCGCTACCCATCAGTGCTCTCAAGAACCCGGCTCTCGAGGAGATTTACGCCCAGCGCTTCCAGTACTTTAATCCCATGCAGACTCAAATTTTCCACACCCTCTATCACACACCCGCCAATGTTCTCCTCGGATCTCCCACTGGCAGTGGAAAGACCGTTGCGGCAGAGCTGGCGATGTGGTGGGCTTTTAGAGAGCGGCCAAAATCCAAGGTCGTGTACATTGCGCCGATGAAGGCCCTGGTTCGCGAGCGTGTCAAGGATTGGGGAGCTAGACTTGCTAAGCCTCTGGGATTGAAGCTCGTCGAACTGACAGGTACGTTGCATGCGTCTTTCGATCCCGAAATACCAATTGACCTGACTAGGTGACAACACCCCTGATACGCGCACCATTAAGGATGCCGACGTGATCATCACTACGCCCGAGAAATGGGACGGTATCTCTCGTAGTTGGCAGACAAGAGGCTACGTTCGACAGGTCAGTCTCGTCATTATTGACGAGATTCACCTCCTCGCTGGTGATCGTGGTCCGATTCTGGAAATCATCGTCTCTCGTAAGTGTGCACCCGGTGAATGC